ACACTGACCTGATGCATCAAGTGGATATTTTTTGCTGAACACAATATGATGCATTTGCCCTCTACATCCTCTAGTCGGAATGAGCATACTTATAAACGCACTGTTACAACTCCTTCATAGTGTCATATTGCTTTTCCGAGAATTATGATGATAAGTTCATAGTAGATGCAAAAGTATACTTATGTACAATATATTATGTTGAACATTGTTGCTCCTGGATGGATCACAGCCAACCCAATTATTGTCAACACAGCTCCATGTCCTTGGTCATGGTGGCCACAGCACTTAAAAGAATAAACTTCATAATTCTCAAAATTCTGACCCTTTGCTTTTTTATTAACAGCATTTACTTGTACTTTTACTTTCAATACTGAAGTACATTTAATATCAGAAAATTACTTTTGATACTTAAGTACAATACATATCAGATACTTTAAGACTTTTACTCAAGTAGTATTCTAATAGGTGACTTTTACTTTTACTGGAGTCATTTTCCAGTAAGGTATCTTTACTTTTACTCAAGTATGGCTTTTGGGTACTTTATACACCACTGCTATTTGTTCATAACAGTTGATGTCATAAATAGCTTATAACTGATCTACAAAGCATACATTAATTATTCATTAGCCCCCAATATAGTTGTTGCAGCTTATAAACCATTTATAAAGGTGCATTATTAACAGACAGGTATAGCCTATTTTACTGTATGCAGTGGTACACCTATACTATGCTACTCCTCTGTTTTGTATTGTTCAGTTAAGTTGTTCACAAATATAAAATATCGATATAGATATGGATGTATATATACAGATGTGGATTTTATGATGAGATACATAATCCACTGTGAGGTTTGTGTATAGAGTATACATAATATGTGTACCGAGAGAAGAGATTTGAAGGTTGAACAATATCTATGTAATGTTTTATATATTATCGTAACACAGTACACATGGCTAGGACTATAAATAAAGCCTGAGTTATAAGGCCAATATATTTCCCGTTCTTGTCCAGTGGGTGACATTACAATCTTACGTCTCATGACTGCACACGCAGAGGTACGAGAATTATATGCTATGTGCTCACAGGCAGCCAGCTAAAGCTTTGAAAAAACACACACCTCTCTAAGGCCGGACACATTTGTTCCAGCTCTTTCTTGCCAAAGTAACCATCCTGTACTCTGTAATAACGCCAAAGAGCCACACTGGTACAACCAACAGTATGTGTCACCGAGTAACACACAAACACACACACACGCGTAGAGGTTATAATTAGAAAGCACTGCCTCAGCAGGACAACAGGAGTCTAAATTGGCTGCAGCAGGGAGGTTGGGAATGTGTCACGGATGATGCTGAGATGATGACATAAGGGCACACGCAGCTTATTTATGGTCATAACAATTCTAATAAAAACATAAACAATACAACCAGAACATAAGGGAACCTCTCTGCCTCGGTACAAATCAGCGATGCAATCAGTCTCTCACTGTCTGTTCTTCTTTCTCGTATCACAACAGGTTACTCACAGTCTATTTTCAGATGACTGAAGGCATTTCTACTTCTGTTGGTATGCAGTGAAGAGTGACGAGATGTGTGTGTGTGCCCGATTCAAACCCCTAATGAAGTAAGTGCATGGCATGTGCGGTATATGTGCCACCAGGGTGGATCTGGAGTCTATTGTCAAGTGACAATGAATGTTCAATAATGTGTTTTGTGTTGAGAAAGAGGAGGGATGCAGCACAGCGGGGGTCTTTATGACACTGGGAGGCAGTGTGCTTGTATATGGACGCTTTGTTTTTGTTTGTTAAAGGCTGTGTGGAGAAATCAGTAGCCTCTTGGGACAGCTCCAGTTCATACAGCAACAGTGATCTTAATTGCAACTTTATAAACTGCGTTGGCCAAGAAGCCGCTTTCATTTCTAAGAGACTGAACAAAAGCTTTTATCTGCTGAAAAAGTCCTTGTGCGACGATACGGAGGCAATTTCTCTGTAAATGGATGGAAGTTCTGTAAGAAAACTTCAAGTGATTTAATCCCATATGCTGTAATTACATACTCAGATAACCTGCACCCTTAATGTTATAATCAGTATGTGCATTAGTCAGCTGGAAAGACTTTTTATAACATCATCTGGAAGCTATTATAGCCTGAATTGCTGCAGTCCTTAATTACCCATCATGGAGTTGTAAACTCGTGCAGTCTGTGTGTAGGCTATATATTATGTGTTCCTCATAACTGTTGTGTATTTTGTCCATTCTATTTCTGCACTGGTCTATCCTGCACACAAATAGCCCAACAGTACTATGTATGCTAATGTTATGCTGCTCATGCTGCTTGTTTTTGTGGGTGTGTATGGAGTCATGTTTTCTGTTTTAATTGTACCTTGTTTTGCATTCTCCTTTTGCTCCCAGTGCATGATATTATTATATCATATCGTCCATTAGGTGTGTGGATTTGCATGGCTTTACGTGTGTCAGTGTGTCTGTGTGTGTGTGTTTGTGTGATAACACTGTAAAGAGT